TAACAGGTGCCTTACTAGTAGTAACAGGTGCCTTACTAGTAGTAACAAGTGCATGAATCATCCATAATGCAATGATGTATAGTTTTCAATGCTGTCAAATGCTAGTTGTCCACTCCGTAGCGGACTTCTCTTGATTTCTTAACTGTTCAGGACTTCCGGTTTATGGACTGCTATTCTTTCTCACTCTTTGCGGACGTGGTTTCTCAACTCTAACACACTGTCGGTTCCCACGTCCAAAAAGTGACCCCACCTCGAAAGGTCAAACATGAAGAGTGATTTCCATGTTGTTTGCGAAAGGCTCTTGCAAATGCTATGCAAGCAAGCTTGTGATGGTTTGAAGTCAGCCAAACTTTCTCGAGAAACAACAATCCTTCTTCTCGTGCTAACCGTAGGCTCACAAATTGCTAACTTAGACTCAGTTGCCTTAAGACCGAGAACACGAACAAAAACCATGAACCGACGACCAACAAAGCCCGACCTTGATCAGCTCGTCGACTTGTCCTTTCACCGACAAGCCAACCCCTCTGTCACGACCTCAGTGTCGAATGTTCGAGACATCCTTGTGCAAATCCAAAACAACAGACTTGACACAAGGATGTTCTTCTTTTTTTCATGTTCTCCTTTAGACCTTTCTTTGTTAATTTTCTTTAGACCTTTCTCCTGTTGGTTGTTTCCTGCTCTTTTTCGAGGAATTCAAACGCAATCTCTTGGTTTGGCTCCACTTTATGCCTTCGGAGAGCACTCAGTCGGCAACCCAACAAGCTGCGCATCCTCTCGACTTTGGAGAGCACCGATTCTCGGTTGTCCTGTGTTTCGGCAAACAGAAAAACACATAAGCGATCGGACGCTACTAGGAACAAGGGCATCGCTACTAGGAGCAAGGACGCTACTAGGGGCTCCTGGCCTTACTACTAGTAGCAAAGAAGCTACTAGGAACAAGGGCATTGCTACTAGGAGCAAATAGCTCCTAGTAGCGTCCTTGTTCCTAGTAGCGATGCCAGGAGCCCCTAGTAGCTTCTTGTTCCTAAAGAATATACATACATTCTTTTTTTAGAATGTCAAAACATATTCCCGAGAAGTTCATTCAAACAATAACAAACCTGCCGGACCGAACCAATAGAGTTTCCAACAAATCCTGATCTAAATCCATGTGCCGAGCTTTCAAGAATTTGCACCAAATTCCTAGCTAGACATAGAAAAACCGTTGATTGATTTGATTTATCATTCTTTTGCATCACTGACCAAAAAAACCATTAGGATAAATAACTCTTTATACCTACGGCTGTCATTGCCGCCTTGGGAGGAACTCGAACATGCCATACAGTTATCTCGTATCATTTGCTGCCTGGATTGGAATCCAACAAAACCCACGAAACATCAAGCTGGTCCTCTTTGGGTTCAACTGCTGCACCAACATTGAGCATTCCTTTCCTGAGCACTCCAGGAGCAGTCGTGATGCGAACAACCAACAAGGCGTAGTTCGAGAGTTCAAGGCGTTCAAGGTATGTTCAGCACTTTCTCTCTAGTATGTTCTTTTCCTTAGTAAAGCGTAATCAAGTCCAAGCGAGTTCTTTTTGTTGATTCTGTGTTTCCTTGTTTTCTTTTCAGTGTTTCTCATCACCTTTCAAGGCCTTCTTCTACGTTTCTTTCTTTCCTTCCACCTCGCTTCCTCTTGGCTCAAAGAAGTGCCTGAGGCACTGACAACTTCTTCTCCACTTCACTAATGGTGTCTCGAGCCGTCTGGACCTGTGGGATGTCAGTCTCGTGGTCTGGGCAAATCGCATCATTGGACATTGCCAGCTGCAGTTGGCAAAAATATGTGACCAAGCTCACATGCTGTGGAGTTCGCCCTCAGCTTCACTGGCCATGTTCACCTAACCTTCTGGATTTGGCAATCAAGGCCGAGCTGCCCGGTGTTCGGCCAGTTCGGATGCAGCCACTCGCTTGGTGATCTCGAGCAACGGATCAGCCACAAAAACCTTGGCCCAAATGATTCAAACAACGTTCATGTCGGACTGAGCTGGATTTACTTCGCTTAGATCAAAATCTGACAGTGCAGTCCAGTACACATCTTTTCATTTTAGACAGGAATGGTGTGAACGAACATCCGGGATGGTAATTAGACAATAACGAACCGTCTGTATGACATTTTGGAACTTTAGATCGGCCTCATTGAACTTCAGTTCAAAGTTGCAGGCGGTATTTCTGCTCAACTAGACATCTTCAATAGGAAGGACGCTACGTTCGGGGCTCCTGGCATCGCTACGAACGGAGCGATCGGACGCTACTAGACATCCTCAATGTGCTCAACCCGAGTCTTTGAGCACGCGGACGTGCAGCACAGACAACAGCGTCTGGGTGTTGCCACGATCCCGAAGCACCTTCCAGTGCGGACAACTATCGAAACGAACACATCGAGAAGAATGTGTCGGTTTACGCGAGTGGTCTTAGGTCTTGAAGAGAAGACAAAACGCAAAACAGGAAAATACAGTTCTAGAGAACATGAAAACAAAAGAGACCAGAAAAAACGCATCCGTTTACCAGACTGCAGCGATTCTTTCTAGTCTTGGGACCTCCATAGTCACTTCGCAGCACTGGCGGAAGATACCCTCCACCCCGGTGATGCCCATGGCCTCGTATCACAATATTGAAAGAATGCTCCTAGTAGCGATGCCAGGAGCTCCTAGTAGCTTCTTGCTCCTAGTAGCGATGCCCTTTGCTACTGAAAGCTCACGTGTGCCGTTCAAGTGTCGTTCTTGGAACTCACACTGACATGCTTCGCGTCAGTGAAATCAGCGAAGGAACACCTCATTCAGCCTGGTGGCAGCTACACAGTTCTGCGTCAGCCGAAAGGGAACCATTTCTGGTCGTTCCAGAAGCATACCTGGGGAAAGAAGGACAAAAAGCTTTGTCAATACAAGGCATAGAAACAATAAGCTACTAGGAACAAGTGCATCGCTTCTAGTAACAAGTGCCTTACTCGTAGTAACAGGAAGCTATTAGAAACAAGATCATACTGCTTAGTTTCCTTTGTTGAAGAAAGAAGGCGATTAAAACAGGAACCCTGCGCCTTTGTTGAAGAGGCAGTCAAAGTCGACGTGTACAAGCCTGGTTCACACAAATGCCCAAGTCAGATAGTTGTGCTTGGAGCCACACAAAAGGCCAAACAGTGAGAAGCGGAGGTTTCATGCTACCAAACTTGCAGCCCATTGGACGGACTTTTGTCACTTGACTTTTCGCGGATCCCTAAACAAACATGTACGTTCTTGGAAGTGATCAAAGTGTGCACTTTGTCTATGACTATCTCCTGGAGCTGTTGAATTCGGGGCAACTAGCATGAATGACCTGCGCCTTTCGCGAGCCCAACACTGCAGGCAGCTTTGCCGGGCGCCTGCCCGACTCGGTATCGATGAGGATGTTCTCAAGATGACGATCTCCGAGGCCAACAAGATATCCAAGCATGCACCAAAGCGCCTCGGTGGCACTTCCACTGGACAGGCCAAATTGTTCAAAATAATTGGCGTCCTTGCTCCTAGTAGCGATGGCCTTTGCTCCTAGTAGCGTCCTTGCTCCCAGCACGTCCAAGAATCCAGGCTTTTTTAAACATGTCGTCTAGAAAAGACTATTTCCCGTGGGCAGAAAGCCGCAGGCAGTATGGCCCAAAAACGAAGGTCTGCAGAAAAAAAACATCTCAAGAAACGAGTGCAAGGCCGATATTATACCTAGCTGAGTTCCACGGTGAATGATGTTTCGATTGTTTGCATCTCGAAACATGATGTTTTGTGATGCAATGTTCAACACCCACACTTGCATCGCTTCTAGTAACAAGTGCCTTACTAGTAGTAACAAGAAGCTACTAGGAACAAGTGCATCGCTACTAGTAACAAGTGTCAAATAAGTTTCCGGTCCTGAGATTGGCTGAATAGCACGCGCTTGGCAAACCACACGGAGGGATCCCCACACTTCAGGAACCACCTTGGAGGCGAGAGTAAAGAAAGATGCTAAGACAAAGAAGCTACTAGGAACAAGTGCCTTACTAGTAGTAACAAGAAGCTA